AAATAAACTGTTCCATTCATTTATCAGTCATTTATCAGTGAGCTAGGAAGAGACTTGTGACCTTATAAAATTAACTGTTCCATTCATTTATCAGTGAGCTAGGAAGAGACTTGTGACCTTACAAAATTAACTGTTCCATTCATTTATCAGTGAGCTAGGAAGAGACTTGTGACCTTATAAAATTAACTGTTCCATTCATTTATCAGTGAGCTAGGAAGAGACTTGTAACCTTATAAAATTAAATGTTCCATTCATTTATCAGTGAGCTAAGAAGAGACTTGTGACCTTATAAAATTAACTGTTCCATTCATTTATCAGTGAGCTAGGAAGAGACTTGTGCCCTTAAAAAATTAACTGTTCCATTCTTCTTCAGTGAGCTAGGAAGAGACTTGTGACCTTATCAAATTAACTGTTCCATTCCTTCATCAGTGAGCTAGGAAGAGACTTGTGACCTTATAAAATTAACTGTTCCATTTCTTCATCAGTGAGCTAGGAAGAGACTTGTGACCTTATCAAATTAACTGTTCCATTCCTTTATCAGCGAGCTAGGAAGAGACTTGTGACCTTATAAAATTAACTGTTCCATTCATTTATCAGTGAGCTAGGAAGAGCCTTGTGACCTTATAAAATTAACTGTTCCATTCATTTATCAGTGAGCTAGGAAGAGACTTGTGAACTTATAAAATTAACTGTTCCATTCATTTATCAGTGAGCTAGGAAGAGACTTGTGACCTTATAAAATTAACTGTTCCATTTCTTCATCAGTGAGCTAGGAAGAGACTTGTGACCTTATAAAATAAACTGTTCCATTCATTTATCAGTCATTTATCAGTGAGCTAGGAAGAGACTTGTGACCTTATAAAATTAACTGTTCCATTCATTTATCAGTGAGCTAGGAAGAGACTTGTGACCTTACAAAATTAACTGTTCCATTCATTTATCAGTGAGCTAGGAAGAGACTTGTGACCTTATAAAATTAACTGTTCCATTCATTTATCAGTGAGCTAGGAAGAGACTTGTAACCTTATAAAATTAAATGTTCCATTCATTTATCAGTGAGCTAAGAAGAGACTTGTGACCTTATAAAATTAACTGTTCCATTCATTTATCAGTGAGCTAGGAAGAGACTTGTGCCCTTAAAAAATTAACTGTTCCATTCTTCTTCAGTGAGCTAGGAAGAGACTTGTGACCTTATCAAATTAACTGTTCCATTCCTTCATCAGTGAGCTAGGAAGAGACTTGTGACCTTATAAAATTAACTGTTCCATTTCTTCATCAGTGAGCTAGGAAGAGACTTGTGACCTTATCAAATTAACTGTTCCATTCCTTTATCAGTGAGCTAGGAAGAGACTTGTGACCTTATAAAATTAACTGTTCCATTCATTTATCAGTGAGCTAGGAAGAGCCTTGTGACCTTATAAAATTAACTGTTCCATTCATTTATCAGTGAGCTAGGAAGAGACTTGTGACCTTATAAAATTAACTGTTCCATTCATTTATCAGTGAGCTAGGAAGAGACTTGTGACCTTATAAAATTAACTGTTCCATTTCTTCATCAGTGAGCTAGGAAGAGACTTGTGACCTTATAAAATAACTGTTCCATTCATTTATCAGTCATTTATCAGTGAGCTAGGAAGAGACTTGTGACCTTATAAAATTAACTGTTCCATTCATTTATCAGTGAGCTAGGAAGAGACTTGTGACCTTACAAAATTAACTGTTCCATTCATTTATCAGTGAGCTAGGAAGAGACTTGTGACCTTATAAAATTAACTGTTCCATTCATTTATCAGTGAGCTAGGAAGAGACTTGTAACCTTATAAAATTAAATGTTCCATTCATTTATCAGTGAGCTAAGAAGAGACTTGTGACCTTATAAAATTAACTGTTCCATTCATTTATCAGTGAGCTAGGAAGAGACTTGTGCCCTTAAAAAATTAACTGTTCCATTCTTCTTCAGTGAGCTAGGAAGAGACTTGTGACCTTATCAAATTAACTGTTCCATTCCTTCATCAGTGAGCTAGGAAGAGACTTGTGACCTTATAAAATTAACTGTTCCATTTCTTCATCAGTGAGCTAGGAAGAGACTTGTGACCTTATCAAATTAACTGTTCCATTCCTTTATCAGTGAGCTAGGAAGAGACTTGTGACCTTATCAAATTAACTGTTCCATTCCTTCATCAGTGAGCTAGGAAGAGACTTGTGACCTTATAAAATTAACTGTTCCATTTCTTCATCAGTGAGCTAGGAAGAGACTTGTGACCTTATCAAATTAACTGTTCCATTCCTTTATCAGTGAGCTAGGAAGAGACTTGTGACCTTATAAAATTAACTGTTCCATTCATTTATCAGTGAGCTAGGAAGAGACTTGTGACCTTATAAAATTAACTGTTCCATTCATTTATCAGTGAGCTAGGAAGAGACTTGTGACCTTATAAAATTAACTGTTCCATTCCTTCATCAGTGAGCTAGGAAGAGACTTGTGACCTTATAAAATTAACTGTTCCATTCATTTATCAGTGAGCTAGGAATAGACTTGTGACCTTATAAAATTAATTGTTCCATTCATCTATCAGTTAGCTAGGAAGAGACTTGTGACCTTATAAGACTAACTGTTCCATTCATCTATCAGTGAGCTAGGAAGATATATCAACTATTTACATATAAGTGTTCTATGAGGTGACAACTTAGTCATACATTATGTATCTGCAGATCAAAATTAGTAAGGTACTGTTATTAAAAACCAACTCCTTTCAGTTACATCAATAAAGGACCTTTGAAGTAGATCGGTGTTCCATTAATTTTGTCTCCCAATTGTCATTTCAAAAGAGGGCCCATCAAAGTAGACCTAGATTTATTTGGTTCATTTTTCAAACTATAAAACTTTTAATTTTTGCTAAGAATTAGATTGCAATCTGGCTAAAATAAGCTTTTCATGAAGATGGGTCCAAAAGGAAGTGATCTCCACACATGATGAAAAAATACCAAATAACAAATATGATTTGCATCTTGAACAAATAAATTTTAAAAAAGAAAAATGTCCTTGTGTACATCACAGGTAAACTACAATTATAATTTGAGAAATAATATCTGCTTTACTAAACAATGAAGAAAATTTGTAAATATGTTTTTAAAATATAAAATAACACATTATAATGAATAATCAGCTCTGATTGCATCATATGCAGATAGTATTAATTTTCAAATTTTAATATTACTAAGTCCGTTGGTAATGTTTTTGTATAACTTGAGAATTTGTGCATGTATTAGTTGACAATTTCAAATGAAGGCATTTCATAAGACACATACATAGTTGACAACCGTAAAAGGATATAATTTTCTAAGGTAGCAACCAACTTTAGTTCTTGTAACTTGCTGATTTTCAATCACATATAAGTTTGAAAGACAAAAAACTGTCAATTGATTTTTAACTGTTAAACTTAAATATTGTCTTTTAAAACAAACAAAAATTTTCTGAGGTAAATGTTTTGCAAAAAAACAGTCAAATCATTAATAATAGAGGGGAAATGGAAAAAAAAAAAATTCAAGAATGCAAGAAAAATAAGGTCAAATGTAAAAAAGAAAAAAGATGAATAATAGTCCACATAAAATTACACAGAAATATTTCTAATGTTGAGTAACACCAACCCAGTTAGAAACTGGTGACAGGTTCTCCAGACATTAACTGGTGTCCATAAAAAACGGATTAAACTAGAACATTAACAATTTGAACATCCAATGGTATTCAGATGCCAGTCTTAATGCATCTAAAATATTCACTATAATAATGTGACACTTTAAAAGCATACAATTAAGATACAACAACTCTATCAAACTGAAAGTACAAAATTAACAATTCTGATCTAGATTATAGTTGATTGATTTGTTGTTCACATTTCCTTTTCCAGCACAAAATGCTTTATTAAGACAATATTTTACAGAGATAAATCTTTACAACATAACCAACAAATTGTTTTCTATGGATCCCTCCATAATATTACTTCACTGTCCATACTTTTACAATCAATTCAATTTTTTCTAGTAAAATAAATAAATCAGTCCTCATAATTTATCCTATATCTAGTAATAGGTTAACAGAGAACCCAAAGATCAAGGATGATACTACTAAAAGGTTAAAGATATGCCTTTTGCTTGTATACATGACTGAATGAGTGTTGCTTTCTTAATGTCCAGTGGCAAATATCTCATGCATAATTAGGACAAGCATATACAATAAAGCTTACAGTAAAGTCTTGACAATCACCACTAATGTTTCAAAAACTCGAAATTTTAAAATTTATCTGCTTTACTAAAGAATGTACACTAAGACCTTCAAAATAAATGAAAATGGGCAGAACAAACTCCTGGGGAAAATAAAATATAACCTAGAGAAGATATTGGATGGAAATAACTAGTCATCAGAATCTGTCAAGAGCTGAATAAGCAAAAATGAAATAATAATAACGAGTCCACAAACTGAGGAAATAAAGGATGAATGAAATATGTAATATATCCTTTCTTATCTGGAGTAGGGAGAAAACTGCAATTAATATAATTAGCCATAATCTCACAAACAGGTCATTCTTCTTTGATGTTTGTTAACCTGTTATATATTTTCATTAACCTTTGGCAATTTTGTCAAAGAACCTGAGGGCCCAGGGCAACATGTAGACATCAAGAATATGTCTAGTCTGTTTCATGGTGAATTTCAATCATTATTTACTTTTTTTCTTCTTTTTGCCTTTAAAGTTCTCATTAATATTTATCTATTGCTCCTTTCTAGCAAATGGTGAATATAATTTCTACTTCTGTTGTTTTTTGTGATTAAAAATTCATTTCCTAATCAAATGGCATTAAATTTTTATTATTTTTATCAATTATATTTATTCATATCTATTTCCTGTAAAAAAAAAAAAAAAGTATGTTTTATTTCTACCAAACATTTCTAATTTAAATTTTTACATTTTTTCTGAATGAAATAAAAATATTTCTGGACTCACCATATCCAGGAATGTCGTCTCTTAGGTTCTTGTATTGTCGGGACAGTCAACATGGTTTTCTATTACAAAATCGTCAAAATGAAAATCTCATTCAATTTAATCCTACATCATATTAGAAGGCTAATCTATCATACCACAAGGATTTTATAGGTTTGAATCGTAACATATAAATTTCCTATAAATATTTTCTCTAGCAATGAGATGAATTAAATCCGCTGGATGCTTCCTAACGTTGAATCGACTTGTCCACAGATTCTATTAATTATTCCACCTCATCAGATCTCTTTTGTCCACTATGTAAAACTCTGTGGGTCAGTATGTTTATAGTCAAAACAAAAATGTTGACAAAAATTTAAATCGATGATCAACATTTAAAACACCTATATGGTTGGGAAAAAAAATTATGCAATAAATTAATGTCAAGATATTCCAATCAGTCTAAGTCCGATGGAATCACAGAACTAATACATGTCACGAAAAATGTTAATCCCTGAAACGGTATTAATTATTCCAAAACAAATATACTGAGGTATTACTTAGGTTAAGTGTAATATTACAGTATATGTACTTTACAAGAATTACTTTCCACTTAACACCTTGTTTATAAACAGTTAGGATTGATTTAACAATTACTACAGATCATTCATAAGTAAATATTGACAGTGTCACACAACGTCCTTCGTACCTCAAATATTTATCCAACAGCTGGAGTGATAAATCACACACAAAATCATTTCAGACAATTTTTTTCCTTGTTTCTTTTTTTCAATAAAAATCTGTGTATTGCATTATACAGTTTGACTAGAACACATTAAGCTTAACTTTCCTGTAACATGTGACATTTATTTGTTTATTTTATCATTATAATATTTGTTATTGATTGATTGATTATGAATGTCTCCCAAACACTTAAAAAAATCCAAGATTTCACTAACATTTGATTTTCTGCAATAATATAATTCTGTAAACAATGCCACACTTTGGAGGGTTCGCCCGATGTACTGTGTCAAGATATCACATTACAGTATCGGAAAAAAGCTTATCACATACTGTAACTATCTCACAAGAATTTACGTCAATCATGGCTCAGTTTCCTTCTCACATTCTTATTTAAATTTCCTTAGCCTTCTGTAATCTCTATCTCAAATATTAATAAAATGCCAAATTAATTAGCGCCCCTTTCATTTGCAGACAATTACACCTTAATGAGCTCCTAATGAGTTTCTGACAGGTTAATTAAATCGGAGAATCATTTCCTTCTGTGCAACAATTATGTCTATTGATGAAACATAAAGTATCCACGAAAAAACCTCCACTGAGTCAGGATGCTCAAACCTCCCTGTAATTTCAATCTAATACAAATTACCAACTTCCTTATAACAGTTTTAATTTCTCTAGCGCTGTAAGATTTCCATTTTCTTAGCGTTCTCCATTCTAATCATTTCCTTTAATTTGAAACACAAAACTTTTTACGAATAAACTAAATTCTCTTGGTTATGGGATTGCCGATTATAGGTTCTTATGTTGTTAACTTCTTGGTTTCAATCATAAAATTGCTAAAATGTCAAGTTAATAAGGTTGACAATTACTCTTGATCAGTCACACAAATTCTACCTTTTAACACAGTTGTTTAATTTTTCATGATCAAGGTGAACATTTTTATCCCATGAAAATAAAAAATTTTCCAATGGTTTTCCACATGAGCAACTCTATAGAGATAGAGATAAATTTGACAATGTGCGTCATTACAGTAGTTCTGAAGGGGACTGTCTCATGGGTTGTCTATCAAGCTAATCAATTAATATCAAACAATGGTAAGTGGGGAAGGATGTTATCGGAAACTATTGATAATATTATAAATAATAATGAATAAATAATAACTAAAGGAAATAGGCAATTCAATATAAGGACTTTAAACAATCGTTCAAATCTCTACACCTTTTCAAAAGCTTCTTTATCACATCTCAACACTTTAAATCTAAACTGCAGAGATTAAATTCACATGTAACTAACTTATTGTCTATTACGGATCATATTTCTAGGGAAGCCTATCTGCAATGAAAGAAAGCAGATTTCCAAGAGACTTCTGTAAAAGTATTGAACACTGTTGTACAACAGACTTTTAAATAGGACATGTAGCTTTGTGACATTGCTAATTCTAAGTATTTCTTTTATTATGACATTTCTAAAACAAAAGAGCAGGTTTATTGATGATTAAAACACATGTGAAATCACTGAATTTCCTGTGGGTTTTAATTAAGAATTGCATTTGTGAAACCAGGTATAAATGTCAGAAGAATATAAAGACTGCATATCATATGTTGTCGGAATGGAGATAAAAGTAAGATGAGGAAATTTAAAAGTAATAGACATTTAAATGGAAATAGATTTTGAATTAGAACGCTGCATTAAATAAAGGGCAACCAGCTACAAATGATGGGTTAAATCTAAATTATAAAATAATAATCTACTGATTTTGAAAGCAATGAAATGATTAAATGTTTTTAGTCGATGGGTTTATGGGTGGGAACTAACTTTCATTCTTCCATACAAATTGTTTATTCATACATTGTTGAGCTATGGGTCAGTTGGTATCATTTTGAATGTGGCTCCCTAATAGTAAATTGGTCCATTGACCAAGTAAAATGTGGGTTTCTTGTAACATTACAATAGGCTTATATTATATATTTCATTACGGTCATAAAATATATGTCTGGCAATATCACTTTTAGCTAAAAAATATAAGATATCTATTCTATTATAGAAAAGGATTTTATGATATTATAAAGCATTTCTGCAAAGAATTTCCAATGCCAAATTATTCCCCATACAGTCATCTGCATTGTCTCATAATTAAAATGTTATCCACAGACTCAGTATCTTATAAACCAAATGAGGAGTATAAATCTGGGATAATTCATCTCATAGTTACCAAAATTATCATCTCAAGAAAATATCTTATAGCTATAATTACATGCATTCACCCGAAACAAAATTCCCATACATACCACAATTATTTTAAAATACTTCAGATCATACACACATATCAAAATATAACAAGAAAGTCACAAAACAGGTGAGAAACGAAAATGTTCAGATTGCTTATAAGTAAAATCTTTCAATAATTGTCTGTAATCAAATCATAACTTCATCTTTTTTCCTATCTAAAACTCATAAAATCAAAAATGAGTAATAAAAGCACGTCCACAGTAATGGCTTTACATGGGGATGAAAATGGATCAGGTTTTATCCAAGATCAATATAATGCATTACTGAACATTGAAAACTTTTACTTATATATAACATTATAATGATAAAAAATTGTTTTCCTAACATATATTATAAGGCATAAGATTAGATATAAACACAGGCAGAACATTATAGAAGTATACTTATTAACTTGTCAATTCTGAGCTGAGATTTATAGTCTGTCCAGTGCCAGCATCAAGGTCTGTCAATAATTAGAACTATAACAGTTATGGCTGACATATAAGTATTAGATACACCCATGAGAGTGTTAAATATTATGGTTAATGCAAAAGGATGGATTTCAATCATCTAAGAGGGGTCTTTCAGCAATTTGATCTTATTCTAGCATGATAAATGCGGTATATCCAATCACATTTCATGACATTACATTTAACGACATCTCATACGATTCCCTTTTATAGATGGAATACAGTTAAATTAAAGCAAATACACCAAGTTAACGTTAGTGTGGCTCAGTGAGGATAATTACAACCGTTAAATCCCTTATTGATGGTACCATCCCTTCAAAATACATACAACCATTCAATCCCTTATTGATGGTACCATCCCTTCAAAATACATACAACCATTCAATCCCTTATTGATGGTACCATCCCTTCAAAATACATACAACCATTCAATCCCTTATTGATGGTACCATCCCTTTAAAATACATACAACCATTCAATCCCTTATTAATGGTACCATCCCTTCAAAATACATACAACCATTCAATCCCTTATTGATGGTACCATCCCTTCAAAATACATACAACCATTCAATCCCTTATTGATGGTACCATCCCTTCAAAATACATACAACCATTCAATCCCTTATTGATGGTACCATCCCTTCAAAATACATACAACCATTCAATCCCTTATTGATGGTACCATCCCTTCAAAATACATACAACTATTCAATCCCTTATTGATGGTACCATCCCTTCAAAATACATACAACCATTCAATCCCTTATTGATGGTACCATCCCTTCAAAATACATACAACCATTCAATCCCTTATTGATGGTACCATCCCTTCAAAATACATACAACCATTCAATCCCTTATTGATGGTACCACCCTTCAAAATACATACAACTATTCAATCCCTTATTGATTGTAGCATCCCTTCAAAATACATACAACCATTCAATCCCTTATTGATTGTAGCATCCCTTCAAAATACAACTTTTATCATTATAACAAAAACAACACTAATTTAGTTTTGGAAAAGTGTAAAATTCTATCAAAATAAAAATTCTGAGACATATTTTCAGAAAATTTAAATTAATGTAGTGACAAATAAATTTGAATGTTTGTGATTTCGCTACTTTCATGCTTTGAATTTGGACAATATCCATTTCAAGAGGTATGTTGTAGGTTTTAAATGCAATCATACAAAAAACTGAAAGTGTAGAAACTTTAAAAATATTTATACAAATATAAAAAATATAAACTATGAATTCTAATGCAATATGGTATTATAACAGGACTTTTGATAGGATCACTTCTGCTGTTGGTCAACATCTCAGGATATGTCAAACGATTTATTTTTAATATTTTAGACTGTTGTATTAGAACCGAGATAACAGTAATGTAATGGAAGTGCTGTAAGCATCAATTGAGGTTTTGACATCGGTGCTGTTTCGTACACAGTAATGTCATTTGTCAATTTGACAGCTGTAAACAGTAGTTAATGAATAAAGTGTTTACTAAATATTGCAATAGAATAAAACAATAACTATAAAGAATTGAAGATGTTGGGTCTATGTCAGTAATTTTGATAAAGATATTTTATTTTCAACCACCTTAGTGGTCTCATGATAACATGCTGATCAGCTGGATGCTGTTAGTCAATCCAGATTTTAAAATTGATATTGTTACCTTGAGCAAGCACATTAAAAATCTGAGACAACCTGTTGGAGTAATACAAACAGGATATCTTCATGCTAAACTAACATTTATCTGCTTTCAATCAATCAATCTGTTTATTATGTTTGCAAGAGAAACAAAAATTGCAAACATGTTTTACACATAAAAAATAAATGAAGAATGAGTCAATGGGACACAGATGATGCCCCAGCTTGCATATAACATTATAAAGGGACATAACTTTAGAACGGTAAAAGTGACGCAACCCAAATTCAAACTTGATCTGTGTTTTGTGGTAATATGCATTGTGTATGAGTTTCATAACATTTGGTTGAGGCAAACTAAAGTTAGAGAATGGAAACCAATTTTGGGACGGATGGACAAGGGTAATATTTAATGCCCTCTCAGCTGTGGCGGGGGCATAAAACTTTACTAACCACCGACTTATATTAATTCTGCACATAGTGGAAAATCTAGATCGATTTTAAATATGTCAATCTTTAAAGCTCAGGTAAAAGTGTCAAGAAATTAAAGCTTTTCTTCCAATAGGTTTATGCCAAGGCATGTTTCCCTCATACATTTACAGTATATAAGTTACCCATAGGATAATTGACAATATCAAGAAACTAACATCGACATTTTCAAGTGTCACTGTGAAGATGGGAGTGTTGTCAACTGACAATTACTGATCAGATTGTCACAAATATTCTACAATACAACTCATCACAAGAAAGACAAATTTTCTTCCAAATCAAATCTTACTAAATTGAATGAATATTTTACGATGTGAAAGAAAGTTAAAGTACATGCATTAAATTGAACCTGTTTGATGAATAACAATAATTTCCCATGTGTAAGGACATATAGTAATATCAATATAATTAATAATATTACAAAATGATTAAATGTGTCGACCATCATGTAATTATTGGATATGACAAAATACTTTGTCATCCAAGAGAAATAATAGCAGGAATACTCCAACCTTATTATAGTTTGCTTTAACAAGTATTTTCATATCAGTAAGATATTTTTATTTAAACCAGAAAGATAAAAACTTGCAATAAAATTCAGGCAAATTTAGAGGCTCAATTAATGAGCAGTTTGATTTTACCAGCTATAATTTTTTTAACAACTTTATTTCTCCCACATGAGTAAAAAATGTAATACACAAACTGAAGCTGCTTTGAATGAGTGACAGAACACAATGTCATTTTATAAAAAGTTCTTACTTGAATGTTATAGTGTACCTACTCAGTATCATTGGACAAAAATACAGCATCTATTGAACACATCTTTCCAAGTGGAAAATGAATCAGGTGCATTTAAAAACATTAATATACATATGATAATGAATTTTTGGGAATTAAAATAATTGTGTAATCACAGCATATAAAAAGGCTGCAAAGCAGCTTTAAATTTACTAGGATAAGACTAAGCTGAATAGTTAAAGGGTCATGATAACATATATTTACTAGGATAAGACTAAGCTGAATAGTTAAAGGGTCATGATAACATATATTTCTGACTATTGTTAGTGAATGT